CGGAAGTTATGCGTGGAGCCTCCCTGATTTTTGATAGTTTTTAGTCACAAATGACTAGACTCTGGTCCAGAAAAACGTCCCCCGTGTTTGGTCGGGTTTAGTCTTTTCTTTTTCTTCCTCCTTTTATTTGAGGGTTGCATTAGTTGAGAGAGAAGTTTGGAGAAAAAGAGAGAAATAAATAAATAAGGGTTTTAAAGGAAAGCACAAATGCCCTATTTTAATTTTAATTCTTTTTTGTTTTTATGTATTATTTTTTATATTTTACTTTATTTTATTTTTACCAGAGTTCATTACATACATTGAAATCAATAATACAAAGTGAGCGTTTGTTTCACGTTTCAAGCGATCTCCAGGCTACGAATTAAATTTTGCTTGTGGTCTGAAACTGACAGGCACCATATACTGTCGATTTCGATGTTCACTATCTATCTATCTATCTATCTATCTATCTATCTATCTATCTATCTATCTATCTATCTATCTGTATGCGTTGTGGTCTTGTTGAAAATTAAGAAACCACAAAATAAATCTTTTGAAAAGAATATTTTATCTGCACGTACCATCCTCATCTGAACAAAAAAAATTACAGCCCACAAATACAAGAGCGGTAATCACGTTATGATAATTATACAGTTACCTCCCTTATGTCGTGTGCTATTATAAAATATAAAAAAATACAGCAAAATCATTCATATTTAATATACTTATACCAAACCGAGACATATTTGTAAGCAGAAATAATGTAAAAATAAATAAAGATAAGGACATTTTGATATACATTTTTTAAAAAGTGGCTGAAATTTTTTTCGTTTTAAAAAATAAACTTCATTTAATAATGGAGGCAATTCAAGAAGTGGTTCCTGGAAAAAGACAAAGAAAGCTAGCACAACAACTTTCTTCAAAGGAAATCCTGTTCAATGATTCTACAGTCGAAGAACGGAACATGTTTAATGAAAGAAAACACTGAAATGAAAGCAGGTTCACATTACAGGGTGCGGAAGAAATACATCAGACACATATCTCCCGCATTAAGACATTAGTGGCAATGGTGTCTTCATCTAACCAATGGCTTACCATTATGTGGGAGGTATTTTTTCTCTACCCTGTATAATGGTGGAATAGATTTCAGTGTCACATGAGTAAAACGTCCAATTCAAACTGCAGACGGTTTACGACATAAACTCTCCACTGGCTGTCTCTCGACTTCTAGTAACTTACCTTGAAAATGACCAACGATAATCGAACGTAACACACAATTTCGGCAAGTTCCTTTTCAAGCTTCCGCTTAACATCAAGAGTTTTATTTTTTTAATACTAAAGTTCATCCAATACAAGGTTCGAGAACCCCCAAGGGTAGAGGGTTACTGTTAAAATGGTAACGATGAATGAGGGGTGTGATATGAATGAAAAAAGGGCCCGTAGGCAGTGAAGATTATGGGGACAGATAACGATTGACTCTTGACTTGAAAGGAATATGTTAATAACGGCTGTAGCGTCTTACAGCTTGTGAAAAACGAATGAGGTAGAGACCCGTTAGGGATACCCATAGAAAACGCGGAGATACGCACTAGGGGTCGTTTCAAAATCTGCTGATTTATATCTCCCGCGTCTGGGGCATTTCGACATGGTGTAATGTTTAGTAAGCGTGTTTCGCTAGATCAATTACGACGGAATAGTGAGTTCGATCCTCACTGGGTTCCCAAATCTTCCAGTCTTGTGCCACATCAAAGCTACGTTTAGAAAATCGCCATATTTCTCGCGCGTGCTTTCTTCTTCATATATCGAGCGTCTGCTCTATCTTTACTGGAAAGGAACCTTCTGTTTCGATGGTCAATGATGCCACTATTACACAGGCTTGACAATGCGAAACACCAATTAAATTAGTTAGGCATCAACAGTTCACTTAACGAGTATTTATACCCAGCACAATACTCCTTGATTAAAGTAATCCATTTTTAGCTTGCAACATTTTACTCTACGGAGATTAGAAGCTTACGATCTCAGACACTTTCATCTGTTTGTTATTCACCAAACGCCGCAGGATGCCATAATTCGGACATTTCCGTATATTTCCGACAGCTGCAACACGTGCATTTTTATTTCGCTACAGAATATTTTTGTTAACTAGAGTAGAGATTTCAGTCATATGCATTAATTGTAAATACAAAGGTGAAAAGTTATCCTATCCTAAGTGAAGATCGCGGTGTAACTGAATGAAGCTGCGATTGAAAGGGTAGGGACGGTTACCTGAGATTCTGACAAACAGTGATAGTGTTTGAAAAGTGGAAATCGTTTCGTGGTTACTTACCCGTTGGCGGTTTCTTATAGTGATAGTAAACAGGATGTAGAAAGTTAGATTCGTGTGCCTTTTCTGGATCTCCAACTGCTCGGTTTTCACGAAAAACATCTTTTCCTGGACCTGAGAAATTAGCGCCATATTGGAATACGATAACTATAATTTCCTCGGCTGGAATTCCACTACACTCCGTCAAAGCATGGATCATTTTTACTGGATATTCCTCGATGTAGGTTACTTCGGTATGTTCCCTGCCAAGAAAAAAATCCAAGCGATTAATCGTAGGCGTGTAAATTCGGTTATATATATAAATTTTTAATTTAAGCGTAGTAATAGGTGAGCTATGGAAGAACTATGGGTCGATGGAAAATATTTAACCAGAATTTCACAACCACGAATCCCATAGCTCATTAGGATCGTAGGGGCATCACAGGTACTGCAGTTGTAGCAGCAGTGGTGTGTCTTGGGCAAGACAGTCATACGAAGCTCAACCCTCTCCCGGCTGGTTTGAATTCAGAATTTTTATTATCCTTGGCTAGTCGCCAACCAAGCCTATAGGACACAGTATATCCTGTTATTTACCCATAGCTGGGGCAAGAAGAGATCGAATCATACCTTTCTCAAGGTTATTAGCATATAAGTGAAAGTAATGAACTTCATTAAAATTCGAACTCTGCTCGTCGATTCCGCAACCCAAGTCGCTATCCATTACTCTACCGTGCCTATACTAAGCCCACTATACTCATCATGACACCAACTCTGATAAAAGTATACAAAGCACATGCATTACAGCCAAATGTGCAGGGTTTGATAAAAGCAGCGCATAATATTGCAGGTAGGAGGTAATTAGAAATATCTTCATGTCAAGTTACCTAGTCCGCTCAACCGGTTTCCAATTCAAGCTGTTCTCAAGTATCCTAGATATGACTCCCAAGTCGACTTGGTTGCCCCATCATTCAAACTTAAAAAAACCTCCAAAAAACAGTCCTCTCTACATGACAGCGATGCTTCCGCGTTATATTCAAACATGAATAGATGTGCACAGCACGTCAGTCCCCCACCACTCCCCAGAGAATGTTATGCCAAAGACAGGCAATTGACAAACAACTCTGTAGTACTGAACCCGATATTTAATTGATCCCCTCGGCGGTGGTACATAGGATGCCCCTTACAACCCTAATCGTGACGTGTTGATTGAATAAATCAGACGATTCTATTGATCAACTGATAGCAATGTAGACAAAAGAATACTGACTTAGAGAATACTTACTTATTTAAGATCATAATGTCACCAAGAACCTGGAACATTTGGTAAATACCAGCTGCTTCATTAATTCTTTTGATGACATGATGAAGAATATTGGTCATTGGAATTTTAACATGGGGCCATGGAACACCGTGATTTCGAACTTCTAGATATCTATTCAAAGTACGAGCTGAAACGACAAGAAAAAACATATATCAAAATCATGTTCTCAAAATCATGTTATTAAAGAACGCACATATTCATGCTGTAATGGGTGAAAACACATCATACATTGAATGAAGATAAGACGTAAAGACGAAAACGAAACCTCCCTCTTAATAATCTAGGAGACTGCTTTTTGCCTTCCATCAACATATGGCTGATGCTAACCTCCAAGAGAGTGACTCAGCCTTCTACGTTTAAAATTCTCTGCTAATATGAAGTGAAAATATTATATTAAATCAGTTGCTAGGTCTACTAAGGAAGTTGGCTTACTGTGTCGTACTATACATTTTTTTCTCCAGAAACTATCTTACATATTTATAAGTTTACCTTTCATCCAGGCTTTGAATATTGCTGGCACATATAGTCCGGTGCTACTACTATATATTTAGAGATTCTTGATAAAAATCCAAAGAAGAATCTGCAATGTTATTGATCCTGACATGGCATCTCGGCTTCAGTCATTTTCCCACCATCATAACGTAGCTTCCATGTATCTTTTCTATAAATACTTTCATGGTAATTGTTCTGACAAGTTTTCCGCTATGGTACCTAGACTTTAGCACTGTACTAAATTGGCAACAAGATATCATCAGTTCACAATTGAATTTGTTTGATGTAACCGTAAGTTCTATGCTAACAGTTTCTTTTTTTCTCTTACATTTCTCACTTGTGGAATTCTTTTCCGGCTTCATTCTTTCCAGCTTTGATCTTCAAAAATTTAAATGATTCCTCTTCTTTTATTGTTCTTGCTTCTTAAAGTCACTTTTACTTATTCTTTCACACCCAGTAACGTCCTGTGCCTTAGCGGCTTTACTGCTTTGCTTGGGGCGAAATGATTAAAGAAAAGAAAAAAAAATGTAATCAATTTTTACCAGTCTGGTCATTTGAGAATATCAACAGAAAAAAAAAAACAGCTTAAAGAAGACACATTTTTTTTATGAAGTCTTTGAAATGCACATGCTGGTAGACATTAATCACATTGTGTTCAAAAAAAAAATAACATGTTTATCCACTAAATACTATATCTTATATATTAATAAGAAATAATATACCAATAACATAGAAGTAAAAGTAGAAATCCTGAGAAAAGTTATAACAGTTTATTGTTAAACAATTTCAAATGAAAGTTGCCGTCATAAATAGATTAATTTATTCATTCATTCATTTTCTACGGCTTATCAACCCTTTACAGGTTATTTAAAGCCAGAAAATATTTTTACATTATCAGAATTTGTTTTTCGAGATAATAATGATTTTAGTGATAGAAGTTCTACTAATTAACACATAGCTGGGGAGAGAAGAGGTAGATTCATACCTTTCCTAAGGATATTTCCACCTAAGTGAATATAACAAACCCAATTTGTTATTCAATTATTAAAAATAGTTAAACAAAACTACCTACAACTTTTGCTTTTTTGTCGTATATTGATAACTTATATATAAATTTTGAGTTATTGACTTTTCTTTATATCTGACGGGTTTATATGTGAAAGAATTATCTCTCCTCTTTCTCTTTGCCCCCTCCCTCTCTTATACACAATTTTTTTCCCTCCTTGATATGAGGAGGAAGTTCGGTGGAGTAATGGATAGCAGCTCGGATTGAGGAATCGGAGAGCCGAGTTAACAGTCGAGTTCATTACATTCATTTACATTCACTTTTAGGAAGGGTATGAATTGAAATTTTCTGTGCACCGCACCCCCCGGTCCCAGGACAGGTTGGGTCCTATAGTCTCAGAAAAGGAAAAACTCTGAAGCCTGAAGATGGTTGGACTCCGTCAGGTTATCTAACACAGGAAGCACCACTGCTACTGCGGTGTCAGTTCATGTGGTGACTCTACGATCCTCAGGGATTCAGGGACTCGTAATCGTGATTATATATAAACAAATTCTTTCTCTCTTTCTCTTTCTCATTCACACAGTTTCTTTTCCCTTCTTGATAGATTTCAAAATCGATTACACAACGTTGCAACTCTTTCGCTACTCCTTTACTATTTCCATGGCAAAACATTCAAATGACCTCCATTTTTGACTTCCACCGGTTTAGACATTTTTTTAATCATTTCACCCAAGCAAGGCAATTAAGTCACTAAGATACAAGGGAATCACTAAATGTGAAAGAATCCGAGGAAAACATTATTAAGGAGAAAGGACGATAAAAGAACATGATTCTAGGCGACAGAAGATGATGATTGACATTGCTTTTAAATTTTCCAACATCAAATGTGATTGGAAGGCAAGAAGTCAGAAGAGAATTCCACAAGCGAAGAATGTGAGACAAGTAACTGTTAGCATAGAACTTACGGTTACATCTAGCAATTTCAGTTGTAAAATACCGTCACAACCATATCGTCAAAATCCATCTCCAGTGCGGACCAGCATTATAAAAACAGGTGGCATTACTTTCGGATCGACTATCATATTTAGTTACGGTCATTATCTTGCAACAGATAATTTTAGTTTACAAAAAGTTTTTAGTTTACAAAAAAAAAAAAAAAAAAATGGGCCAAAGTTTTAGGTATGGATCGATCTCATTTCAAGTTCAATGCGAGACTGCCTTCAAGTTAGCACCCAACAGAAAAATGTGGAGACGTTTTATTTTCTTACCGACGATATTCAAGTTCAGGCAAAAAGCAAGATACTCGAATTCTGATTTTCAAGCCTGGCATATCCTATTCATTTGGCCCACTGGAGTAACACAATCTTCCTAAGATAATTACTTCTCACCTCTATCCATTTGTATTTGCCTTACAAAAGCTAAGTCTGGTAAAACTCTACTGCATGTGTCCAGTGGAGTAGGTATTGATCCGCACACTCACACGAACTGAATTTGGGAGAAAACCTGGTTTAAAGCAGCACTCCAAACCGACGAATATTTACCTAGAGACTCAAGTATAAAACTGACCAATGGTTATCTAGAGGCTAAAGTATAAACCCAATTAATGTCTATCTTTAGAATCAAGTATAATCCCGATCAATGTTTACCTATAGGCTCAAGTATAAACTCAATCAGTGTTTACCTATAGACTCAAGCATAAACCGAATCAATGTTTACCTATAAACTCAAGTATAAACTCGAACAATGTTTCTCTGTTGGTTTAAGTAGAAAACCGATTAATGTTTACCTATAGATTCATAAGCCCGATCAATGTTTATCTATAGACTCAAGTATAAACTAGACTAATGTTTCCCTGTAGGTTTAATTATAATCTCAATCAATGTTTACCTATAGACTCAAGTATAAGCTCGATCAATGTTTACCTATATACTGAACTATAAACCCAGCCAAATTTTACCCCTAGACTCAAGTATTAACTCGACCACTGTTTCTCTGTAGGTTTTAGTATCAATGTTTACCTAGAGACTCTATTATAAACCTGATCAATGTTTACCTGTAATATTCAAGTATAAATTCGACCAGTGTTTATCTATAGACCCAAATATGGGCCTGACTAATGTTTATCTAAGTATAAACTTAAACAATCGTTACCTATAGGCTCAAGTATAAACTCGACCAATGTTTCCATGTAGGTTTAAGTATAAGACCTATCAATGTTTACCTATAGACTTAAGTATAAACCCGATCAATGTCCGCCTACAGGTACAATAATATACCCAATGTTTCCCTGTAATATTCAAGTATATATCCAAACAATCGTTACCTATAGACTGAAGTATTCACGGATTGAAGTAAAAGAAAATACTTACCTGTGTATCGGAAGCCGTGTATAAAACCACCAGCACTTTCTCGGAAGTCCAAGGAATGTGCTATCGTACCAGCAAAAAATAAACCTGGTATATTTGTCGATTCGTAGGTTGGCTTAATACGAGGAAACTTTTTTAACTTTCCCCGCCCACGTTCTGGCATTGTGATGCTGAAAAATAAAAGTAAATTAGGGGTAAAGAAAAATGATGTATATATGAAGAAAATGCTAGAAACGTCATATTATTAGCGAAGGCAATTGGACAAAATGTGGCATAGCATATAAAAGTTGTCGGTTCAATCAGTAGATCCTGATCATCTGCGGTTGATCTAATCGGTAGGCTCTGACCATCCGTGGTATAGGACTAGATATTAGATTCGCCTACTGCCCGGTTCATACACCTCTCTGGTTTAGATGTTTATCTATTGTTTACTGTTTAGGATTGGGTTTCCGATTCCTTCTAAAATCTACTTCAACTCTACATATTATAACGTCTCTGCTGAATTCTGAAATTTTATTCACTAATTAAATCTTCACCTCTTCAACCCTAGAATTATTTGTTATCTTTCCTGCCCCAAGAACTTCACTTCTTTCCCTTTTTTATGCTCATACAACTCCACACAGTATCCCCCTGCCTTGAGTGGCTCTCGGATCTTGCATTGGGTGAACATTAGTGAAAAAAAGAACCTCCTCCCACCAAAAAACATCTGTAGTTTGTCCAGTCATTAAGACCGCGCCATCCTTGTTTGGTTCAATCAGAAGGCCCTGGCCATTCGCAATTGGTCCAATTAGTTGATTTTCACCATCTGCGGTTGGTCCAATCATTAGGCCCTGACTATCCGTAGTTGATCCAATCAGTCGGACCTCACTATCTGTGGTTGGTCGAATCAATAGATTCTGGCCATCGGTGATTGGTCCAATCAATAGGTTCTGACCATCCGTAGTTGGTCCAATCAGGAGGTCCTTACTATCCACAGTGAATAAGGATGTGCGATCCAAGGCCTTTCTGACCTGGAATCAGTCACGATTTATAACAAGGAATCTGTCATCCAAGTCTATAGCAGCCAGTCTAACCTGCTGTGTTACCCATACTGGGGAGGGAAGAGATGGATTCATACATTCCCAAGGGTATTAGCACATAGACTTATTGTAATAAATTCGACTGGAATTCGAACTCGGTTCTCCGAATGTGAATGTATATCTTTAAATGACTTATACATGAATGTTACGCTATGTTTTCTTTTATGTATTTATTTAAATCACTTATTTCCTTAGCACACAGAAAGATAAAAAAGACCGTACGTTGCACATATACTCCCACACAATGATAAGACATTAATGTCAATGATGTCTTCATCTAGCTAATACCTTACCATTATGTAGGTGGTATTTCTGTCTCATCCGATATATATATATATATATATATAGTTTTAAGTTATGTTATATTTATTAGTAAAAAAGCTCAATATCAGAGATAGAGCGTGTGTAAATATAAAAGTGGACACTGAGGCAAACACAGAGTGGCGAGAGCCTGTTCTATGTTAGAAAGAAATCTTCAGGTCATGTGTCTGAATATTATATATATGTGTATGCATATATATAATCTTGAAAGAAAAGATGTATGACAAATTGGAAAAGGCCTTTGTGACGCGTTTCATCCGTTATGGCTTCATTGGACTGAGCTTGTTTAAAAAAACACACAAAACGTACTGGTTGTTCACTGCCAAGAAGCTGACCATAATTTTAACATCATAAATGCTGCTCTAAATTAAAAGAGACAATAATTCACTAAGACGAAAACATCTATAAAGAGCTTTAATCGCTAGTTCATTCTCACAGTAAATTTACGTCAAGGTTCTTAAACCGTTTCATCATTCTTGGCAGATTTTCTGTTATTACAATCTGGGATATTTAATAACAAAGATGGTGGAAAGATAAAGAATATAGATGAATTTGGCTTGATTGCAAAAGAAAAAAAATTCTTTATAAAATTTTGAAACTCCCAGTGACTCGATAAAGTCCTAACGGATGACACGCGTCACAAAGTCTATTTCTAATTTGTGATACATACATACATACATGCATACATAATTTGTAGGCCTGATGAATTGGATCGTGATTACGATTCCAATGTAATAAATTATAACCATAGAATGTTAATGTTTGAGCCTTTTATATTATTATATTATATATATATATATATATATATATATATATATATATATATATATATATATATATAAATTTTTTATTTATTTTTTCAGGGTCCTTACGTTTTTCCGCTTGGTGGGAGTAAGGGAGTACAAAAATTCTTCCTTGTCTGCTGTATTTAACGAAAGATATTTAAAAGAAAGATTGCAAATATAAATGTGTATATATATATATATATATATATATATATATATATATATATATATATATATATATATATATATATATATATATATATATATATATAATATATATATATATTATAATATAATATATATATATATATATATAATATTCTTAATTATATATATAAAATATAATATAATATAATATTAACGCTCTATTTTTAATATTATTTTAATATTTTTAATATTGCGCACTATATTTAAAAATATCCGCTGTTTCTTAAATCTTAAATCTTATATATATATATATATGTGTTTGTGTGCGTGTGTGTGGTTAATCAAAATAACTTTTGTCCTTTTCGACATAAAAAAATTTAAAACTTTATTTCGGGTAAGAAAGTTGTGTTTCGCCGACAAGAAATATTTTATTTATTTTGTCCTATCTCTGTATTGTTAACTACGATTTGAAATATTCATTTATTTTATATACAATCTGATTTCCAAGTGTATTAAGTCACTCCTGTGTGTCCAAGGCATTATGGGAAAAAGTTGACAGGCATCAAACGTTGCCTTGAACTCTGACAGGAGCGCTATCCAGGCATTTATAAAAACGTCCTCATCTAAAACTGGCTGATAATCCTCCAGTCCCTAATTGGCTAGAGACGTAACAACTGCTGTCCAAACACGTCAGCTCATTTGATGAGGATCATAAAAATTGTTTTCCTTGTAATCGACAAACACCCTGTCAAATATTCATTGTTATTAAATCCTAGGTTTGGCCTGGGTAACCTTTCTGCTGCATGGCTTCCCACGGACGGATTCTGAACGGCGATTATGTCCAGGTTTTTTTTTTTTTTTTTAAATTAATCTTCAAACCAATACAAGGAACAATTGTGTCTCACCGCATTCTGTTTTTGATTCTCGAATAAAATTCTCTGCGGCTAAATAATTAAGTTTGTATAATTTTTTTCTGTCTACATTTCATTGTTTGTATTATTGTTTTCATTTTTATTGCGATATTCACGACGTTTCGGCCGTTGTACGCTCCGGCCTTCTTCAGCTGATATTTGTTTTTGGATATCTCAGTTTTGGGCCAAGGACACATGGCCCAGTGGATAAAAGCGTTGGTTGATTGGTCCAAAAGTGATTTGATCCAAAGAGTTCTAAGTTCAATCTCTGGCTACAGCAGAGAACAAAAATTTGGAGAGTTGAGTTATCAAGGAGAATTAACAGAAATCGAGAATTAGAACAATCTATTCCGCGGACTAAATAAAGGGTTTCGATTCGAAATTTCAACAAATATCACCCGAAAAAGGCCGAAGCGTACAACGGCCGAAACCATGTGAATATGGCAATAAAGATAAGGACAACAGTCCAAACAATGTAGATAGTGTAAGTTTTTTTTTCTGTTGGACTGTGTCGTCAAACAATTAAAATCTAAATCATTTGCACATATCGTGGAGACAAAGGCAACACTTCCTGGTTGTGCGTTTAAGGAACAAATTCAAGATTACAAATGCCATATTTCGTGGAAAGAACATCGTTTTTCATTCTTTGGAAGATTTGAGATTCCTAAAATTAGTGTCAATATCCGAAGACTAAATCTTCTCAATTTCAATTTCACTGATATACAGGTATGATAAAATGAGAACCGTTGCTATGGTAATGCAGAGAGTGAAGCCGCTTAGCACAGATTGAACTTGAACTTGAAGTTACAACGTTCTCGCTTACTTAGGTTGTTTATAGGAGAGCTTGGAAGGAAAGTGTGTAGAGTGTGGTCGTCTCATCACGCTATAACGGTTCCATCAGTGACCATGGGCTGTGCGGCAGTTTTGGGCCAAGGACTATATTCCCCAGATCCGACAACCACCATATTCCCCAGGTCTCATTCCTTGCGACTTTTTCCTCTTCAAAACTCAAATCCCACTCGAAAGGAACAAGATCTCAAAACATCGAGGAAATCCAAGAGAATGCAAAGAGGCAGCTTCTCGCTATCCCCAAAAAGGAGTTCTAGAAATGATTCCATCAATAGAAACAATGCCGGACAAAGTGAATGGATTCAAAACGGGACTACTTCGAAGGGAATTAAAATGTCGAGTTGATATGTGTTTTAGTTTTCTTTTTATAGCACCAGTCCGGATACATCTTCATCAAATCTCGTATACTGAGTTGGAACAAAAATTCGCAGTATTCAATAGTTGGTATTTGAACACCTGATTTCGTTTCACACGTGAATCAAATTTTTTACATGTATACATATTCTGAAAAAATGGCATTTCAACTCGTCTTTCTATATAATTCGTGTGTAGACAGTGAATTTTAAATGTTTATATGTTAAAAGTGCATATGGAGGGAAATGAAATGCATTTCTGTTATTTGAGGCTCATTTATTTATGAAAATATTATGGTCCGGTTCCTTGTACCACGGTGATAGTCCAAGGTAGAACCAATAAAGAAGAACTCGAACACGTATATGGAATAACACAGATATATTACAAACAGGAATATATACAGAGAAGAAGAAAGTGTTAGTACGAACAATCAGGTTTAGTAGTAATTGTCTGAACGCGACCCTGTTTCGGACTGCCTCTGACTTGACTGACTGACTCGCTCGCTCTGACTGACTGACAGACTCCTGACGGACTTCAGTCCAGACTTCAGACTGAACAGTATTTAGTCACCCCCCCACGAGGTCATCATGTGGCACAAGGCCGGTTTAACGTGGGATCTCAGAGCCCGTGAACTCGGCCCAAAATATGCCCTTTGAACCCGTATAAACGGGTTCAGGGTCGGTTAACCCCACCGAAAGAGACTCCGCCCTTCGGCGTAGCCTCGTTCGGGTTCCTCCCCGTCCGAAGGCAGAGAGTTCAACCGATCAGCCGGTCAGCCGGTCGTCCGACTTCAGACTGAACAGTATTTAGTCACCCCCGACCCCACGAAGGTATGATGTGGCACAAGGCCGGTTTAACGTGGGATCTCCGAGCCCGTGAGCTCGGCCAAAAATATGCCCTTTGAACCCGTATAAACGGGTTCAGGGTCGGTTTACCCCACCGAAATAGACTCCGCCCTTCGGCGTAGCCTCGTTCGGGTTCCTCCCCGCTCGAAGGCAGAGAGTTCAACTGATCAGCCGGTCAGCCGGTCGTCCGACTTCAGGCTGAACTCCCTGCTTCATCTTGAGGCGCAGTATTTATTACGTATGGAATAGTCCATTATGTTATTGTGGGTAAGGTCCCATAACAGAAAAGGAAAACACCTGTACAAACAGCAAAAAAGTTAAGTGCCTTTTAGAAGGATGTTGCTGTAGCTGAGGGTACTGTTCTTAAGTGCATTGATAAGTTTAGAAGTGGAAATTTTGATCTAAAATCTGAGAACGTTCCGATAGGTCTGCAGTCATTGATGATGATCAAATCGAAACACTGATCAAAAATAACTCTGGTCCTGGGATATAGTTGTAAGGCATTTAAAAATATTTGGATATGTGAATAGCTAGGATATTTGACTGGCACATTTTGAAAAGAACGATCACAGGCAATGAAAAATGAATTGTTTACAGCACTGTGGAGCGAAAAAGGTCCCCGAGAATAATAAAAGACATTCTGCATCCGATGAAACTGTGTATAGGTGGGTTTGGGTGCGCGTTGTACATGACAAGCTCATTCCACAAAATCTGACATTGAATTAAGACAAGTCCTGTTCCCAAGTGGACCAATTACAATCATCAATCGATGAATAGCATGCAGAATGGCCTAATCGAAAAGAGATTGATTTCTATCAGGGTGAAGCCAGATATCACCCCTCTTAGACCCAGTAGAAATTGTACAACTTGACTGGAATCTGCTACTAGACCCAGTGTACTGGCGTAATTTTGAACTTTCGGATTTCCACTTATTTCAATCCTTACAAGTTCTCTTAATAGACAGAACTTCAATTATTTGGAAGCCTTAGAGCAGTTCATTATCCAGATCCTTATGCCAAGTTCTGGAAAGAAGGAATAATGAAGCTGTTTAGAGATGGCGAAAAGTAGTTGAACAAAATGGTATGCGGTTGAATCAATCTATGTAAAAATATCTAAATATTGTCTTTGAAATTCACTTAAAAACGCTACGAAGTTTTGTTCCAACCCAATATAATATACATCCACTCTTAAGTGGTTAGGTTTTTGTTGTAACCTAGAAAAGGTTACTGAATGTGGAATAACCAAAACGGAGGTTGGAAATGAAATGGTAATCTTTATAACATCAACAAAATACAATACTCGCCAGCGGCGTGAAGTAGGTAAACCACTACTAGTAGTGGACTATTTAGCATATTACCCCCACTCGTGTCTAATGTATTTAAGAGGATTGGGGCATAACTATTAGTGTTCATAGGTATGAATTTCTGGGCATTATAAACCTAATGTCTTCAGCAACCATTTTTACATAATGCCTTATCTCAGAAATACAGACAGATACTGAAGAAATTCTGTGTTGATTAAAATCTGAAAAGACAACAGTAAAAACTTGAATTTTATGAGTTTTTTTTTTGATCACGAAGAATATGGTAGAGAGTTGAATTCATAATTCAAGTGTTGCTGGATTTTAGTTTAATCTATTATTCCCCACCTTCTAAAAAATAATGTCTGCTATTCGTAACTAAGTGGAACATGCACAGAAACTGATATATCTCAAATAATTATTTTGACTGAAAACATTCAACTTAATACAGTATCTTATCCACTCAAATCCATGTTACAGTGAATTTACTGTTTTATTTGAAAATATTTATTGTTAGAATATCATTGTTGTCAGAGTTAATTTTATATTGCAGGAATTTAGATTCCACACACACACACACACACACACACACACACACATATATATATATATATATATATACATATATATATATATACGTATAGATATGTATGTGTGTGGGTGGGTATATGAGAAATAGATGGAAAAGATGAAAGATAAAGTATAAGAAAGGAAAAGAAGAAAAATGAAGCAAAAGAAGATGAAAGATAAAAATGAAAGAGAAGAAGAAAAAGTGTAGAGGAATTGGAAAGAATAATAAAAGGAAGAAGAAAATGAAAGAAGAGTAGAAAAAAAGGAAAGAAAGCCGAAAAAAAAGAAAAGTAAAGAAAGAAGAGGACAAGTAAAAAAAATAAGAAAATAGAAGTATAAGAAAAAGACAAAAAAGAAAAAGAAAAGAAAGAAAAGTAAAAGAAAGAAGCAAACAAATAAAAAAAGGAGAAAATAAAGAAAAATACAAAAAAATATAGAAAAGAAAGAAAAGTGAAAGAAATAAGAGAACAAGAAAAAAAAGGAAGAAAAATAAAGAAAAGAAAAAAGTTAATGGAAGAAGAGAATAAATAAAAGTATAAGAAAAAAGAAAGGTAGAAAATGAAAGAAAAGAAAAAATAAAAGAAAGAAGAAAAACAAATTTAAGAAGTAGAAAAAATAAAATTGAAAAAAAAAAGAAAGAAAAATTAAAATAAAAGAAAAAAGAACAAGTTCAAAAAGAAGAAAAGTGAAAGAAAATTAGAAAAAAGAAAATAGGAAGAATAGAAATAAAAGTAAAGAAAAAAAAGAAGAGAACAAGTTGGAAAGAAGATGAAAAACGAAATAAAGTAGAAAAAGAAAGAAAAGAAAGTAAACGAGAAAAAAAGGGAAAGAAATTATCTTCCAGTTAAAATAAGAATGTTCTCATTTTCCCTCGTCTACATTCGCCATCTTACCAAAACCGTTACTTAGCGTCGACAACTTTTTCGCTTTTAATTCCATCTCTAGCACCATCACCTGCTGCCTAAGCAACGCTCGATAAGTAATGGCTACTCAGTTTTTTTTCTTTTTGTGAAATATAAAAACTTGCACTTTCAAGCTGTCTAAAAAAGTCTACTTTCAATTTTGTGTGGGTGTTTGATAGCCAGGTAGTCTTTGCTTTCCAGATATAGCTCACCATTCCAGAGAACAGGGTATCGTTGCCATAGTTATCAGAATTACAATTATTGTTATTTACTTATTGACTCATGGAGTTACTTATGCATTCAAACATCTGTTACTATTTTCTGCAATATTGGGACCATTATTTCCATGGAAAGTGTTCAGACAAACTGCTTTCTTTAGTTCCACCAGTTCGAACCTTCAAGATCCGACATGCTATGCACATTGAATCAAACCACCTTTATTCCATTCGTATTCCATTGGTGAGATGTAAGTTCCACTTGAGCAGCTTCTTCTCATAAAATGCTGCTTTGTGAAACCGGCTCCCAAGAGGATGCTTCCCCGATCATTAAAATCTTAACCTAAGGTTAACTGTTATCTTCCCCACATATTCTCATACACTGTGTATCTTAAACTGTGACCCTCTACTTCGAGTGGCAAATGAAAACACTGGAACACAAGATTAGTGAAAAAAAAAACTGTTTTATCACGTGGATTAATATTACAATACTAGTAAATATTGTAGTTAATGTGACACACTTTGTGACGACTGTTTGGGCACCTCGGCGTGGTGCAATGGTTAGCAAGTTTGCCTCGCTAAAAAACTGTTACGACTGAGTAGTGAGTTCGATCCTCATTGGGTGCCCTCGACCTTGTGCCACATCTAAGCTACGCCTGGAAAATCACTATAGAGTATGGTGTAATGGTTAGCAAGCTTGTCTCGCTAGAACAATTACGAATGAGTACTAAGTTCGATCCTCACTAGGTGTCCCATACTTTCGGCCTTGCTTTGTAAATCGCTGGCGGTGTAATGTTTAGCAAGCTTGTCTCGCTGGAACAATTACGACTGAGTAGTAAGTTCGATCCTCACTGGGTGCCTCATACTTTCGGCTTTGTGCCACCTATGAGCTACGCTTGGAAAATCACTTTGCGGCGACTGTACGACAACATTCATAGTCAATGGAGGAGTCCATGTTCAAACTTTAGTGTAGCGAAGGTCGTAATTACCCTACTGCAAATATTTGTTTTGATTTTTACACTTTATTTCGCTTGCACTTATTTTATGGAATGAGTTTTACGGAATAAGATCTATAGACCTTTTCTATATATAAGACTTAAAAGAATTAAAAGCTAATATTTCAAAAAAGAAAAAAAATGTGAACGAAGTTTTCTGATTTATTTTGAAAATTAACGGCAGTGGCAATTTCGTATATTGCGACCATGTCACGTTGAAACACCTGTTCTCATACAATCACCGAAGTTAAGCAACGTTTAACCTGGTCAGTACATAGATGGGTGACCGTTGGTGAATACCAGTGGTGTTAATCTTGGATGTGTTTATTTTATGAAATGCTATCTATCAATTTTTTCTACATATAAGACACATATAGGAGTCTTAAATCTTACAAAAAAAAAAAAAACTTGTTCGGGATAAACATCATTGTAATATACAGAGTTATTAAATAAAATGAACCGATTTCATGACGTATTGCTTCAGTTCTCAAGCATCGTCATGGAATGATTCAGCGACCATTTGAAAGAGGAGTTTTTTTAAGTTTTGAATGGCTGCCATAGGGGCGCTGTAGTCGTGTCGTATCTCCAGAAATGTTCAGTTTGTTTACTCCCTGGAATGGTGAGTCCTCCGCAAAAGGCGTTCTGCGTTCTCGAGTTCGCGAAAAGAAATAAGGTTGTCACGATGCAACGTACTTTTCGAAGGCAATTCACATTAATCCACCATCTCTTTAGAACATTCGACGGTGGTTTAAACCGTTTCAAGAGAGTGGATGTCTGTATAAAGGAAAAATTCCAGGACGACCACGTGTTTCGGAGGAACAAGTGGCGAGAATCCGAGCTATGTTTGATGGGAGTCAACTGAAGTCCACAAATCGAGCTAGCTGTGACCTTGCGATCTCTCAATCCACTATTTGGTGTGTGCTAAGAAGACGTCTACATTTGAAACCTATGCCTCGTTCAAGCACTTACCAAGACCTTGCTCTTTGTGCTTGACCTGCAAGATCCCCAGATATCACCGTGTGTGATTTTTTTTCTTGTGGAACTGCGTAAAATATTGAGTTTATGTTCCACCGTTGCTCGCTAACCTCGGTGACCTTAAACATCGAATAACAACAGCGATTAACTCAGTGGATCATGATATGCTAATACGCACCTGGGGGGAATTCTCTTATCGCATTGCTGCTGCCCGTGCTGCAGGTGATAGACACACTGAACATTTGTAAGAAAGAAAATAAAAGTTGATTGAGTAGAATACTTGTGACTTAGATGGAGTTTCTATTGCTTTTCTTTATTAAAATATTGCGGAATGAAATCAGTTCATTCTTTTTGAATAACCCTGTATATATAGATATGTAAATAATTTTCTGATAGATTATCTGTGGAGGAACAAAATGAATAAAAAGACAAGAGGAAAAGCTATACTTAGCCGATGCGTTTCATTCTCTGAGGGACTTTATCAAGGCATCGCCTTGATAAAATCCCTTAGATGACGAAACGCATCGGCTAAGTATAGTTTTTCATCTTTTTTTTTTTTTTATATATATATATATATATATATATATATATATATATATATATAAAGTATAAAGATATTTTTCTAGGTACAAAATTTAATGATAGAAATAAAAGTGTAAAACTTAATATTACTAGACATATTAAAAACAGGCGAAACAACCGGTTTCGCTCCTGCTCTTCAGGCTTCAACGGGGAGATTTAATTTAAATTAAAACACAGGAAATGTACAATAAAAAGGAAGTTGTGGAGGAAAATATGTCTAGTAATATTAAGTTTTACACTTTTTATTTCTATATATATATATATATATATATATATATATATATATATATACAAGAACATAAAAGCACTTTTATCGACTTAGAGCTAATTTTCAGCTCCAGGGTAAAACTTTTAGTTCCAAATTTGTACAGAGTTTGCAATTTAGCTTGTAAATTACAATTTCCATAAAGTCTTCTTACTCTACATGTAAGATGACATATGACAAAAGTATGCTTGTTATGGGAATTAAATGCGAAGCTTGTAACGGACGAGATATTAAGAATATTAATGGCATTTGGTTGATAACTTTTTCATGCCGAAAGGTTTTTTTGGAAATCTTTAACCTTCGCTTTTTCAACAAAAACAGTGTCAAAAGACACGTACTTGGTAAAAAATCACAATCAAATAACCAGTGATTAGGATATTAGACCAGATGCATGGAATCATGACAATATTGTCTCTCAGACCGTACAATACTATAAATAATAACAAAAAACAAAAATGAGAAATACTAGTTCGAATAATAATAATATATTACTTCAGGAAAGTTTAGATAACATTTTAAAATCGTGATAAGAAGTATCAGATGTTAAAATGGAAGAAATGGTACTCAAAAATTATTAATAATGATTTATGTAATAAAGTTAATAGGAAAATGAGGAGAAAGGACTAAATGTAGCGTCGTCAGGTAAAGAGACAGCTAAAGATGTGACCTACATATTCGGTGTTGTGGCCTTGTTAGGGTCAGAAATAAAGACACAAAGAGAAATTAAGTTAAACAAATATATTAACAGAAACAGTATTACAAACATATATAAACGAGAGTGTTACAGCAAGAACTTTCGGTCCTACTGTCAGAGCTGACTGCTGGAAATTTCCCTTTCCAAGAGGCAGTACCTGCTCCTATTTATATCTGGGATATTCCATGCGTGCGTCGGTAAATTACCACAACATTCGGGAAGTCAAAAAGAAGCTGGTACAAATATTTATTAACTATCTTGACAATGTAGAAATAGACAAGAGAAAATTTTATTACTTAAAAGTAGGTAGTAAATGAAAAGCAAGCAAGAAAGAAGAGAGGAACTATGGTAATCAGCAAAAGAGTCAGCCTAGAATGTGAGCTACATATTGGGGATGTTCAAATGAAGCAGATACCGAAATTTAACAATCTGATTAGTGTACTAACAAAGGATGAAAAATGTGACACAGAAACCTGAATGTATGTCGGAATAGTGAAAGATGCCTCCTAGAAACTAAGCAAAGTATTAAGAAATAGGGGAATTTCGTTAAGAACTAAGCAAAGTATTAAGAAATAGGGAAATTTCCTTAGAAACAAAGAAAAGCATGCTGAATTACTGTCATATTTATCTTCCTATATAGTAGTGAATGATGTACAATTTCCTTCTCGATGAAGGTGAAAAAGAGACTCGAAACGAAATGCTGAGTATACTATGGACAGAGCATGTGAACATCGAGGAAGTTTTAAAGAGAATGAGAACTAGAATTTTTATACTTAAAATCAGAAAGAGTCAGTTGAAATTTCTAAGGACATGTTATGAGGAAAGAGAACTTGGAAAATTGAATACACAAAAGGCAGGTGATCGGTTGATTTTATTCAGCGGTATATAAAACTATTGAGAAATGTAAATATTTTGTACACAATTTTATGGTATAGGCAGGAGAGGAAGAAGGAAACAGAGTGTAACCTAATGTGTTCCTATGAACAAATAGCAGAGTAGGGACAAAGAGAAAGAGGGAAAGGAAATAGTCTGGAGTTGCTAAAAGAGTTACGCGCTTGAAAAAAAAAGAGAAAAAAAGAATGAAAACCATATGGTTAGATTTAAATAACTGCTACTGCTGGTTGTCGTAGCCTAATTGATAATGCAGCTGCCGAGAATAAAAACTGTAAGTTAGAATCTTGCTGAAGGTTTATTGTTTATTTTCGATCTGTGCTACTTAATAAAGATTGTAGAATGATGATTTGGGAGTAGCGAAAAAGAGCAACTGATGAGACAATACACGTAAAAATTAACAATGATTGTCACTGCTTCATCGAAAAAATTTAGACAACTTAAGACTACTACTAATAGGTGCAAAGAAGCAAGAGAGATAAAACGAAAGAAAGACTAGTCAACGATTAATAATAATGACAATGCTTCATCTAAGAAATCCATAAAACTTAAGACTACTACAGATACTACTACTAGGTGTAAAGAAACAAGAAAAATAAGATGAAAAAAAAAAGTCAAAAAATTATAATGACAATGCTTTTTTTATTTAATTCACCCCAATCAAGGTAGTAATATCACTAAGGCGCAAAGGGCTACTTGGAGTGAAAGAGAATGAGAAGGAATTGAACACTCTATACTAAACAAGGAATAAAGGATAAACCTCTGTTCCTGTTCAAAAGACCAGAGAGGAGTGTGAACCGGATAATTTGGCAAACCTATCTATTTCTATTAAGAAGAAAAAATATGATTAATAAATTAAATTTCAGTGTTCAGGCAGAGACGTTAGAAGTGTAGAGTTGAAGTAGGCTTAAAAAGGAACCAGAATCCCAATCCTAGACAGGGTATAAGATAAGACTGTTGCTAATGATAATATAAGTAGGTGTAAAGAAGCAAGAGAAATAAGATGAAAGAGTAGTCAACAATTAATAATTGATAATTTAGACAGTTCAAGACTACTACTATTACTGCTTGATGTAAACAATTAACAAAAATATGATGAAAGATGAGTCAAAAGTTAATGATAAATAAGTCAATAATACTAATACTAATAATAATATCCAAGGAAATAATAAAAATAATGTGTCCAAATCCAAAGGAGGCAGAGGATTAGTTCAACTGGAACTGTCTTACAAAACCACAACAATCGGTCTTCAAAGATACCTGGAAACTGCAGAAGATTGGATTATGATCTGTGTCAAAGAACATGAAAAAAATAAGAAACTTTATTCAGTAATAAAGGAAGCCAACAAATTCAAAATGGAATTTCAAGTAGGCGAAGAAGTGTAAATAAACCATAGTATACCTACTGCAGCGGCAAAGAATTTTAAAAGAAAGCAAATGCAATATACCAAATGCAGAAACGATGACAAGATAAGCCTCTTCATGATCAATACACTGCCCGTACCAAACAAGCTGATGTAGACAAACCTTGTACTCATCAGCGATTATATAGTATAGAATTAAAAGCTGAAACCGAAGGTTTTATTCTTGCTGCACATGACCAATGCTTGCTAATTAGAATTTACCAAGCACGCGTACTGAGAATTGTGTTAACTCGAAATGCAGATTCTGTGATAAATATTCAGAAACAATTTTCCATCTTGTCTCAGATTGCACAGTGTTAGCACCCACTGAATATAAAATTCGGTATGATAGAGTGGGTCATTATCTGCACTAGAAAATATGCAACTTTTATGTAGAGAAAACTGTAAGAAACTGGTATGAACATCACTCAGATCCGGTTACAGTGATAGGACCTGTAGCAATTTTATGAGACTTTACAATACACACAGGCAGAACAATCAAAGCTAATCGTCCAGACATCAAAGATCAAAGACCACAAAAATAGAATGTGTTTTCTTATTGACGTGACACTCCCTGCATATTGTAATGTATCTTTGAAGATCTTGAAGTGGAAATCTAAAAAATACAGTACATGAGAACATCAATAATTCTAGTTGTAGTTGGAGCCTTCGGATTGATTGGAAAAGGTTACGATAGGCTCATTGAAGGGTAGGCCAAGCCTTGAAGAAATAAAAAAAAAAAAAATTGTACCCCCAAGTAAAGCGAAGACATTACGAAAAACTTTATCTATATAAAATTTACGTGATCTTAGTTTTTTTGATCAATGGAAAATGCCATGAGCTATTTCTAACCTTAGGTCTCTGCTTGGGATCCGGAAGGAAATGCGTATACAACAAAAAACAAAGGAAATAATAATAATAATAATAATAATAATAATAATATCGTTGTTTTTTAAATGATCAATGGAAAATGTCATGAAGCCATTTCTAACCTTAGGTCTCTGGTTGGGACCCGGAAGTAAATATGTATACAACAGAAATCAAAGGAAATAATAATAATAATAATAATAATAATAATAATAATAATAATAATAATAAACATCCTGTAGGTATAAAGCTTGAAAATTTAAATTGTCCTTACTTGGAGAATAAAGAGTCATCAAAAGTAAATCCAAGGCATCGAATGATCATGTCGTATGAATCACGAAGGGAAAAATTGTCAAAGAAGTCATCGTTTGCTGTCAGATGGATTTTGCCGTTCTTTGCGTGAAATTTCATCTCTCTTGACAGGTCGACTTCTGCGATTCCATCCATCGATTTGAGTTGGTAAGTATCGAGAGGGCCATTATTTACAGCCCTAGAAGAAAACAAAACAAAAACAAAAAAACTTTTGTTAGAAAGATTTTACGTTCCGCAAAAGTACATCTATTCATGTCTGGACTGTGTTATCTCGATTTGTTTGGAAATATATCATCTCTTTCTTTTTTTTATCTCTATCACTCTCTTTGTCTACCTTTCTCTCCTTGTTTGTCTGTCTGTCTGTCTCTTTCTATATATATATACGTGTGTGTGTTTGCGTATGTCTGTGTGTCTCTCTCTCTATATATATATATGCGTGTGTGTGTGCGTATGTCTGTCTATCTGTTTGCTTTCTGTCTGTTTGTCTGTCTGTCTGTCTGTCTCTCTCTCTATATATGTATCTGTCTATCTCTTTCCTGACCAATCTCTGCCTGTCTGTCTCTCTGTCTATCAATCTCTCTCTCTTTTTATCTCTCTGTATTTCTCTCCCTCTGTGTCTGTCTCTTAGTCTATCACACCCTCTCTCGGTCTATCTTTCACTATGTCTATCACACACACACACACACACACACACACACACACACACACACACACACACACACACTCTCTCTCTCTCTCTCTTTCTCTCTTTCTATCTTTCTTTCTCTCTCTGCTTGCCAATCCTTCTCCTTCTGCTTGTCTATCTTTCTCTCGCTCTGTTTCTCTGTTTCTGTCTGTCGGACTCTCTCTCTCTCTATATATATATATACGCCTATCTCTTCCTCGATCACTCTCTATCTGTCTATCTCTCCCTCTGTCTGTCTATCTCTTTTTGTCTCTCTCTGTAATCACTCTCCCTTTATCATTATGTTTGACTCTCTGACAGTCTATAACCCATTCTGTCAGTCTGTCTATATATCTCTATCAATTACTCTCCCTCTCCATCTTGGTCTCTCACTCTCTCTATCTCTCTTTCTGTCCATCTCTAATTCTCTCTTTCTCTTTCTTGCTGTCCATCTCAGTGTTTTCTCGGAATGCGATATTTTACTTTCTGTTTTGATCTTTATTCATCTTTTTACATTATCTATCTATCTATCTATTTATCTATCTATCTATCTATCTATCTATCTATCTAGTAAGCTTGTATTAAGGATTTCTCCGATTGAAAACTAGAGACCGAAATTTTAAAACTGTTTTTCGATGGAAACTTTTGCACCCACCTAAATCTCTCTCTCCATCTCTCTACTCCTCTCTCTTTAACGCACGCGCACCCACCCACACACATATTGGATATATTTAGGCATGTATGATTTATTTTTGTAGTTTTGGTCAAAGACTAACGTCATTTTTATTTAAAATTTCGGCGGTTTAGAACATTATATATATATATATATATATATATATATATATATATATATATATATGACAAAGTAGAAAACGTTTTCGTGTGACGCGTTTCGTCCTGTAGGACTTTTGAATTAAATTATTACGTTAGTGCTACTACGCATGCGCATAAACGAGAAATGCAGGGAATTTAATCACACGAAAAACTTTTCCAATTTGTCACACAATTTCCCCCAATATTGCTCTTGATATATACAAATATATATCGCTATCTCATATACAGGGTGTATCAAAAAATATTTTTACAACCGTTGGGTGCAGGTTCCTGACGCAAAAACAAGAACGAAAGTCCATATAAACACATCCGCTAATCCTTTGTACAATCCAAGATACAATCCCAAAATACTTTTACAAAATTTAGGATCGGGTTCCTGACAAATAATAAATATCCATATAAACATTTCCCAAAAGATATGGTTGTACCTCAACACAGAAACAAATGTTGAAAATGTCCCCACCCCTGCTTCTACGCACACATGCACCCGTCGGATCATCGACTGGCGGGCCCTTTTAGATATTCCCACATGGTGTTGAATGATTTCGCCCCCATGACACGCTGATGAAGCGTCTCTGCATTATTAATGTCTGCTGCATAAACCAATTATTTTAGGTGATCCTACAGATAAAAATTCAAAGGATTGAGGTCGATGGAACGTGCAGGCCATGGAACCAATTCTTCCCGACCCATTCATCTTTCATGGTAGTGCATCGCGAACAATGTGACTAAAATGTGCTGGAGCCCTAACATACATGAACCATATGCATTTTAGTATTAGCAGAGGTACATCTAGTAGGTCTGAAATTGTATTCGAAATAAAGTTCTTGTAGACAGCTCCTGTAAGACGAGCTGGGAGAACATGGAGCGACCAGACAGTCACCTACAATTCAGGCCCGCACGTTAATCGTAAACTGATGCTGGTGTCTAGCCTGTATTATAGCATGGGGATTCTGATCCACCAACAAATGTTGGTTGTGTAAATTTGGTATCCCATCTCTTCCAAATGTTGCCTCATTCGTAAACATGACTGAAGAGACAAACAACGGATCGGCAATTTGGGTAATAAACCATCGACAAAAGAAAGACCCTGCCCACGTTGCAAATAATACGGATACAGGAGCTGCTCTAGAAGTACCCTCCATGCGGTACTATGAGATGTACAAATGCTAGGGTCACTTGACGTATGCTTATACCGGGATAATGACAGCCTGTAGAATGTGTCCTTCGTCGTCAGGTGTACGAGCGGATCTCGGCTTTCTGGATTCATAGTTTATGGTGCCATGTATCCTGTCTCAGCAACGTGACGATAAACAGCAGTAAAGGTTCAATAACTCGGCTGTCATCGGTCTGGAAACGCAATGTGATACAGTCGTGTAGCCTCACGTCCATTACCATTCGCGTGGCTGTATATAAAAATCATATCTGTCTGCTCACGATATATCCTGCCATTTTTAAACGTAACATTTCTCAATTAACTCACTACGACACACGTTAAACATTAAAGACACACTCGGCACAAATATACACGAATGACAAATATAACCTAATTTACATGGCAACACAGCGCCATCTACCATAAACGTTTTAAAACTTATAACTCAAAAACGAAGGATTTACGGAGGTATGTTTATATGGACTTTTGGCCTTGTTTTGGTGTGTGGAACTTACACCAAAGTTTGGAAACGTGATTTGTATATATACATATATATATATATATATATATATATATATATATATATATATATATATATATATATATATATAAATGGATTTTTAATCTGACATTATTTATTACTACATATATATTGGGTGTGATGGATAAATTGTCGTCTAAATTTCGCAAAATATGAAAATTATACTGACATCTCATTTTAACAGATATATTTACCAAAATTACAGATAAATATATCTTGAAATACTAAAGACTAAATTTATTCAGTAAAATCGCCATTGGCTTCAACCAAAGCCTCCAGACGACTATGGAACCACCTGCAACTCTTCTGGACGGTTTGCTTGTTTAAGTTGTTGAATGCTACCATAATCCTTGCCTTCAGTTCGTTTTTCATGTTATAAGAATTTTTGTTCTGTCGCTTAACTGCATCCCACACATAATAATCAAGGGGGTTTCAGTCTTGGGACTGGTGGCCAGATGTAAGAAGTGGTGTGGTTATAGAAATTGTCTAACAGCCATGTCTGGCTTCTCCTGCTTGTGTAGCATGATATAGAGTCCCGTTGCAAGACATCGGGTCTTCCAGTAGCCATCCTCTTGACCCAGGACAGCACTATCTACTCAAGGCACGATGTAGACCACCGTGTTGAGTCTGAGTTAAGCGAGAGACCAACAAAATTCCTTGTAACACCAATGATGAACTGAAGACAAAGATTATGGTAGCATTCACCAACTTAAACGAGGAGACCGTCCAGAAGAGTTACAGGAGATTCCGAAGTCGTCTGGAGGCTGTGGTTGAAGCCAATGGCGATGTTATTGAATAAATTTTACTCTTTAGGATTTCAAGTATTTTTGTGCAATTTTGGTAAATATATCCGTTAAAATGAGATGTCAGTGTTATTTTCATTCTTGCGTAATTTAGATCACAATTTATCCATCGCTCTCTCCCCACTCTCTCTCTGTATATACAGTGTGTCCATAAAGTTCGTGTGCACTTTAAAAAATTTATAACTTTATTTGTATTTGCGATAGAAATAATTTGTAAAAGGATTAGAAAGAAGTAAATCTATATTTTTTAAGGTTTTATTGAAATTTTATTTAAGTTTCCACATGTCATCGATCATTAGCAATACAAAGGGTAATACGATTTTGCAGTTCATGGAAAACATTTGCCAACTGATTTACAGTAATGCCTGAAATCACATTAGTTATTTTAGCTATACTTAAAACTAGGTACATTAAACTTTATAACATTTTTTACAGATTATTTCTATCGCAAATACAAATAAAGTTATAAATGTTTTAAAGTGCACACGAACTTTATGGACACCCTATATATATATATATATATATATATATATATATATATATATATATATATCACACTTTAAGAGGAATGTAGAAATTTTAAGAGGAATATAGAAATTAGCTGTTACTATAAAAGAAATAGGAACATAGCAGGCACTTTCGAAGAAATAGAAAAATAAGAGACAGTACAAGAGAAACAGTAAAATAGGAGACAGAACAACTAGAAATAAATAGAAAAAGGGAGAACTGTAAGAGAAATAGCAACATAGGAGGCACTATAGTAAAAATAAGATATAGAGGAGACACTATAAGAGAAATAGAAAACTGATATTATTAGAGAGAAAGTAGGGAAGGGTAATTTGTTCCCCTTTGATATAACCTTTGCTGAATTCAATTTGTTTCATTTGTGTCAGATGATTGGTTTAACGCAAGCGCTGAGAACTACACGCAAAAATATCCACATGAGGGTATATACCTGCCAAAAGAATGGTCATAACCATTGGTGATTACTGAGGACTTAGATTTAATTCGCTTTATAACGCCTTTTTTATACTAATGTTTACCCAATACAAGTCCTAAGAACAACTGAAGATTACTGAGAGTGAGAGAAGCTAAAAAAATAAAAAAAAAAAATAAAAAAAACGATATTGAAAGGAAAGGTCATTAAAAAGAACAGAATTCAACGAGAAAGAAGATGACGACTGACGTTGCATTTACATTTGTGTAGATCGTAGCTGAAAAAAAATCAAGAAGAGTGTTCTGGTGAGAGACATTCCTTGGTTGCACTAGCTTTGACCTTTACAGCTTGGGACTCTCTATGTCGCATACACAGAGATGAATCAGTCTCATTTCCTTTGTATTCTATTAAGAAGTAAGTTCCAAAAATTACTGTTTGGCGGACTCTAAGCAGAATGTTTTCCCAATCACTACAGAAAAAAAGTTCTTTCGGTTATTAAGTAGAAAATTTAATTAATAAACCGAACGAACTTTTTGACCAACACAATATTTTTATAGATACAACTGGTAAGAGTTATGAAATATTTCATTTTACATACCGAAGGTCACCCACATAATGAGTTGACCACGCGAGACGCACTCGGCTGCGTCCAATCATATGTACCAGGCTTGTGGCGCCATAAATTGCATCTGCAGTTTCAAATGCAGAATTTCCATGACCTGAAAAAGGAAAAACGGTAAACAATGAAACTGAAAAAATAGTAAATAAGAAAAGGGGAGGCATTATAAAAGAAACAGAAAAAAGAGAAATAAGCAAAGGGGAGGTACTATAAAATAAACAAAAGGAGAAATAGGAAAAGGTGAGGCACTATGAAATAAACAAAGGCAAAGGGGAGACGCTATAAAATAAACAAAAAAGATAAAAACAGTAAAAGGGGAGGCACTATAAAATAAACAGAAAAAGTGAAATAGGAAAAGAAGAGGCTTTATAAAATAAATGGAAAAATGCGCAGGTCCTATAAATGAAACTGAAAAATAGTAAATAAGAAAAGGGGAGGCATTATAAAAGAAACAGAAAAAAAGTAGAAATAGAAAAAAGGGAGGCGCTATAAAAGAAACAGCAGGAAAATAACTAGGAAAAGGCGAGAAATTATAAGAAACAAAAATGGAGAAGTAGAAAAAAAAATGAAGCATTATAAAAGAAATATATAAAAGGAAAAAATGTAAAAGGGAGGCAGTATATAAGAAACGAAAAACAGAGAAATAGAAAGGGAGACTATAAAAAAAATCCCAGAAAAATGCTGAAATAAGAAAAGGAAAGGCAATGTAAAAGAAACAAGAAAATAGCAAACGCTATAAGTAAAACAGAAAATAGGATGAAGTGTAGAAAAACAGTAGAATAAGCCACTATAAGAAAAATACTAAATCAGAGAAAATATAAGTGAAGTGGAAATTAGGCCACCTTATAAAATATAATAAAAGGGATACCTTATAAAAGAAACAGAAAATAGATAATAGATGATATAAGTGAAATATAAAATAGGAGACGCTATAAGACAGGCGTTCTTATCCACGAAAATTCCCCTACCCCAGGTAAGATTTTAATTTAATCATGGATCAGGAGACATCATCATCCAAGTGTGCATCACGCATGACACTTTAAAAAAATCGAATTCACCCCATTTAAGGCAGTAAAGCCACTAAGAAATTTTATATTAATTTGATAAACTATTTATTTATATATTTTTAATCGATGTAAGGCAGTAAAGACACTAGGGGTTACTGGATGTGAAAGAATTAGAAAACGGAAGCAATAAGGAGGAGCGAGAACAATAAAAGTGTAACCAGGAAGACAGTAGATAACGATTGGCATGACATTTAGATTTTTGGAGATCAAAGTTGGCTGGAAAGCAAGAAGCCGAAAAAGAGTTATACAAGCGAGAATTGCGGGAAAAGAAACTGTTAGCATAGAACTTACGGCAACATTTAGTCAATTCAATTGTAAATCGATGGGACCTTGTTGCTAATTTAGTACTACACTTAAATTCATAAAGTCTAGGTATCATAGCAAAGAGCTCATCCGAACAATTACCATGAAAGTACTTATCGAAAAGGCACAAGGAAGCAACTTTACGGCTGTTGAAAAGTAACTGAATCCGAGAGGCCAGGTCAGGACCAATAATATTGCTGATTTGTATTTGGATTTTATCAAGAATCTATAAATATAAAGCAGGGATACCTGATCATATGTGGCAGCAATATTTTAAGCATAGGTGAATAGTAGACTTATAGATATGTAAGATAGATTCTGGAGAGAAAAATTGTCTATCACAACACAGTGAACCAACTTTTTTGACAGCAGGCCTAGCAGTGGATTCAATATAGTCTTTCAACTTCATGTGAGCTGAGAATGTTAGCACGGGAAAGCGCAACTAGTTACTTTCAGGGAAGTTAGCATTAGCCATTCTTATGAAAGGCAGAAAGAGGTCTCTTAGATAATTAATACAGAGAAGTTTTGCTTTGGTGGCGTTAAAATTAACACGCCATCCTTTATCCCAGTTAACAACAGACTGCAGGGCTTTTTCAGACCAGTCGCCAATTTGACCATATCGTTCTGGATTTTAGATAGGTCAGCTCTATAACATTGTCAAAGACTGAGGATAAAATGATAAATGTAGGTTTCCGTTTAGTGCTAGGTGAGACAGTTTTTCTCCCCGGAACTCTCTTGCATATCTATAAGTTTACCATTGTTTAGAATATTGCTGCCGAATATGGTCCGATGCTCCTGCTATTTACCTTGAGGTCCTTGATAAGATCCAAAGAAGAATCAACAATATTATTGATCCTGATCTGGTGGCTCGACTTCTGTCACATACCCATCGCCGTAAGGTTATCTCTCTGTGCCTTTTTTATAAATACTTTCATGAGCTCTTCGCTATGGTACCTAGACTCTATGAATTTAAACGCAATACTAGACTGGCTGCGAGATCTCATCATTTTACAGTTGCGCTAGCTAGATGTAGCCGTAACTTCTATGCTGACAGTTTCTTTTATCGCACCTCTCGTTTGTGGAACTCCCTTCTGGCTCCATGCTTTCCAGCCAACTTCAATCTTCAAAAATTTAAATGCAATGTCAATCGCTATCTACTGTCCTCTTGACTGCTCTTTTCTCTTTCTACTTATTACTAATGTTTCTGTTTCCTAATTCCTCCACACTCAGTAACCACTTGTGTGTTAGTGGCTGTACTAACTTGCTTGGCGTGATATCGATTAAAAAAAGTTCACAGTTCCATGGAAATTGTGCGTGGGGAACTAAAGCACTACAGCCCGCCCCGCATTTATAATGACGTGGATGTATATGATACACATACTCGACTTCTCCTGTTAGCAACGAGTGCGTTTAATCTTGAAAATTGACAGTCCCTTTTTTATCTGGTTTTCAGTGCACCTCTACAGTAAAATCATTTACAAAGTATTTCTAGAATAGAATATTTTACAAGCTTTATATGACTTCTTTTAATGCACAGCATACAGACTGAAGGTCGAAACAGGCTCAATCAAATTTCAAATCAAAAAAGTATCAAATCTGAATATTAATTATCAACATCAACCCTAAATGCCACAGGTATTTAATTTGTTAGAACAGATCCAGAGTCGAAACCTTATCGCTATATTAAAAAGAAAGAATGGTAGAAGAGGATGATTTCAACAGAATGGGGGGATTTCAAGTCTCTTATTCTTCCTTTTACAAGTACTTTTAGAGGGGCTAACGAAAAAGAGAAGACACTTGAAGTGAAATTTGTAAAGAAACAAACATTTAGGACTCCCTGCTCATTCCTATTACCATGACAATGGACTGCTCCTGCTTACAAATATAGCAAGTAACCACATTTGAGGAAGATTTGGGGTTGTTCTTATGGAAGGGCAGAGGAGGAGAGGGAAGGTTTTTCCATCGGGGTAGATGCTGCGGTTGTAGTATCTGTTCTGTACCAGAGACCTTTTCTCCTCCTTTACGTCCCGCTCACCGTTGCGTGGACTGAATCCTCGGACTTGTTCCGTAACACCTGTTCTACAGTAGTGGTATGACCGGCTATGACTAGCTTAGATAAGCTATGACCAGCTTAGACAAGCAATGACAAGCTTGGACTAGCGGCCCGAGTGGAGACACTCGGGTTCCCACGTTAAAAACTGATCTTGTGTCAAAGCCTAACTCAATGGGGCGTCAAGGTAAATAATACCGGAGTTGAGGAGGAGTAGCAATGTTTGTGGCAATGTGCTACCGTCATTAACTAAGGCTGAACACTGTGTTCTTTTGCTTACTAGGTATTATGCGGGTTGTGATATAGACGACGCGACAGAAAGAATTCTATGGAGACGACAAGTTTACCTCTTCCCAATTCAACTTATGCTTTAAGCATCAGCTTGATGTCAAGATTAGGACGGAAAGGCAACAGCTCCTTCCATCAGAATTTAGTAAAAGATGGGTGAGCCTTGCGCATCTGTATCGAGTAAAAGGTGTTGATGGTGTTCAACGCCATCACTTGATAAGACACCAGAAGTGTTGAAAAAAAATGGCTATTTTTGTAGTGATTTTATAACATATTTATGTTATAATTTTTGAATAATAATAATAATATTTGGTCTACTCTGTAATGAGCACTCTTTTAAGAATAGTATTTGTTGGTTATTGAAATTTATTCCTTATACACCAATCCCATACTTGGGTATGTATATATATATATATATATATATAATAGTTTTGAGAGTTGTTAGTAATAAAACAGTGCCTGAAATATAGTAAGATAGCTAAAATTTATAATAATAATAATAATAATAATAAACATTTTGTTCCCCATCGTTCGTTACAACCCCGAGTTTCATGTCTTGACAATCCTCAAGAATCCGTGCCTGACGATTACCACGTGCATGAAACTTAGAGTTATACCAAAAACGGTGAGAAAAGATGTATGTGTGTGTGTGTGTGTGTGTGTGTGTGCGTGTGTGCAAAGGTTTTATTTTCATAAAAAGTTCTCAGACCGGAACGAGAAACGAAATCGTTAAATCGAGTAAGAATAATAGTTAACGGACTGGTCTAACTGACCAATACGTCTGGGTAGTAAGTTAGATTCTCACTGGGCCCCTGCAGATTTGTAACGCTGTGTCAAACTATTCTTTGTTTGAATCTTATATGAGGCTGTTTACAATCACCTTCTGCCGCTCCCGAGGAAGACACGAGTCAGCTTTTACTTATAGCTGCCTGAGCAAAAATAGTCTTGTCACCAGTATGCCACAATGCTTGATGTCGAAGAGAGATAATGATCGAGCAACTACGCAAAACGCACTTCTTTAACTTTTTAAGAGCAGCAAAAAAAAAAAAAACCCAAAAACAACAAAAACACCACCGCCAAGAAAAAACGGTAAACAAAAACAAAAATCATTCACAAACAAACGAACAACAAAAAATAAGCCATAAATAGAACACACACACACACACACACACACACACACACACACACACACACACACACACACACACACAACAACAACAACAACAACAACAGCACACAAACATACACACAAATAAAACAATCAAAATAAATAGATGAAAGCACGTCTTTAACCCAGTGTTCAATTTTGACAGGGGTTAGTTGTAGAAAGCGCAATACACAATGTGTCTCACTATTAATAGCATAGTTTAAGAAATAAATTATTTTTATGTTGAGAGGTATGTTTAAAAGAATTTCACTTGAAGTACGAAAAAGAAAAAGCTAAAAGAATTTAAGGTCAGCGTTCTTATATGGTGGCCATTTTTTATGTTTTGTTTAGGCGAGAATATGGCTTCGCCAATGCTCGCAGCGCATCGTCTGGAAGATAAAGTGGACGATGTTGCCATGGCAATATCGGACCTGTTGACTGTTTACAAGGAAGCAAAAAGCTAGTGGCCGTAATTGTGTTTTTATCTCATAGTCACAACAGAATCAAAATCTAGTCGCTACTTTATCTATATTTCATATATATATATATATATATATATATATATATATATATATCTCTCTTTTATATCTACAAAATTTTCTTTTAGAGATCAATTTCTTTCTTTCTTTCTTTTCTCTCTCTCTCTCTCTATATATATATATATATAAATTCATGAATTATTCACACAAAAACAAATGCAAAGGTTAATGATTTAATTG